GTATCACCCAACATTTATCTAATAGAAATAAAAACTTGGGCCGAGCCCGTGGTGCACTCGGGAGAGTGCGGCACTGGGAGCGCAGCAGCGCTCCTGCTGCGGGTTTGGATCCTATATAGGGATGACCAGTGTGCTCACTGGCTGAGCGCGGTGCGGCCAATCTCAAAAAAAAAAAAGGACAAAAAAGGGCTGGCCCGGTGGCGCACTGGAGAGTGCACCGCTTGAGAGCACAGCGGCACTCCCACCGAGGGTTCGGATCCCATGTGGAGACCGGTTCCCGCTCACTGGCTGAGCGCAGTGCAGGCACGACACCGAGGGTTGTGATCCCGTTACCGGTCAGTAAAAAAGACAAAAAGAAAAAAAAAAAGGGAAAAAAAAAGAAATAAAAACTTATGTTTACACAATAATCAGTAAATCAATGTTTATAGGACCTCTGTTCAAATTTGTCAAAAATTGCAAACTCAAATGTTAATGTGTCAATGGATAAACTGCAGTACATCAAACAATGGAAAACTGTTTCCAACCAACATATAAGTATCTACTCTCACTTCAAGTATCAGTAGCATGTAACAATTTCCAATCCTGTATTAAAAAAACCCTTTCCTGGATTGCAGAATATAACTTATTTTTCTGGTTTTTTTTTTTTTTTGGCTTGCAGTATATAGTTCATTTTTCTCATTTTTCTAGCTATATGCTATACTCAGAACCTGGTTATCTTATCTAGCTTCTCTTCTTTAATATCATAATATCACTTGCATGCTGATGATTTCTAAATTTATATCTTTAGAACAGTCTCCCTTTGAAAACTGGTCTGATTTATCTAACTTGCTATCTTAAATACATAATTGCATTTCAAAAAGATATTCAAAGTTTAGCAAAACTAAAGCACCAAACTGTAGTTTCCCCTTTAATTTTTCACCATACTAAAGGAAACTTCGAATGCTCCTGAGGTGCTACCTGTTTTCTCTCACATACTTTCAATGCACCTTGTAATTCAATATTTTCATGACTGACTCCAATCAGGGTCAGCATTAGTTTGGGACTCTAATTATAAGGACAAACAGACATATATCAGCAAAATGAAAGAAAAAAACTATATAATCATCTTGATAGATGCAGAAAAAGCACCTGATAAAATTCAACATCTGTTTATGACATGACTTTTAACAAAACAGGTGTAAACAGAAAGTATCTTAATACAATAAAGGCTATACTTGGAAAACCCACAGCTAACAGACTGAACACGTAAAAGATTTGGAACAAGATAGAATGCTCGGTCTTACCACCTCTATTCAACATAGTACTTAAAGTCCCAAATTGGAAAAAAGGAAGTCAAGTTGTCCCTGTTTGTAGATAACATGATTTTATAAAGAGGGAAACCTAAACACTCTTGTCAAAAAATTCCTAGATCTGATAAACAAATTCAGTAAAATTGCAGGATACAAAATTAACAAACAAAAATCAGTAGCATTTCTATACCCCACCAATGAACTTGCAGGAAAAAAAAAAGTCAAGAAATCAATCCCACTTACAACAGCAGGAACCAGAGAAGAAAAACCTAGGAATAAATTTAACTAAGGTGAAAGATCTCTACAATGAAAACCGTAAAATACTGATTAAGCAAGTCAAATGAAAAGACATATCATGGTCATGGATTTGGAGAATAAATTATTGTCAAAATGGCTATACTACCAAAATCAACCTACAGATTCAATGCAATCCCTATTAAACTGCCAATGACACACTTCCCAGAAATAGAAAGAATTCAAAAAGTTACATGGTACAACAAGAGATACCAAACAGCCAAAGCAATCCTGACAAAAAAGAACAAAACACAGGGTATCACACACTTTGACTTCAAAATATACTACAAAGCTATAATCAAAACAACATGGTACTGGCACTAGACGCATGGAACAGACAAGAGAATTCAGAAATAAATCCATGTTCCTATAAACAACTGGTTTTTGACAAAGGAGCCAAGAACACAAATTGGGGAAAGAACAGTCTCTTCAATAAATGGCGCTGGGAAAAGTGGACATATGCATAAGAATGAAACTAGGCTCCGTGTCTCACCACATACCAAAATCATCTCAAAATGAATTAAAAACTTAAATGTAAAACCCTAAACTATAAAACTTCTAGAAGAAAATAGAAGGGAAACCACCTAGATATAGGCAAAGATTTTATAAATAATATTTCAGAAGCACAGGCAACAAAAGCAAAAGTTACCAAATGTAATTACATCAAACTAAGAACCTTCTGCACAGCAAAGGAAATGATCAACAGAATCAAAAGACAACCTGCAGAATGGCAGAAAATATCTGCAAACTATACAGCTGACACGGGATTTATATCCAGAATATATGAAGAACTCAAAACGACTCGATAGTATAAAAACAAGTAGTCTGATTAAAAAATGGACAAAGTATGAGTAGACATTTTACAAAAGAAAACATACAAGTCACCAATACGTACATGAAAAAATGCTCAACATCACTAATCATCAGAGAAATGTAAATCAAAACTATAATGAGATGTCATCTGACCCAAGTTAGAATGGCTATCATCAAAAAAATCAGAAAATAACAAACACTGGTGAGGAAGTGGAGAAAGGAGAACTCTTACATTGTTGGAGGAAGTATAAATGAGTGCTGCATTGTAGAAAACAGTTTGGAGATTCCTCAACAACTACAGATATAACTATAATACGATCCAGCAATCCTACTGCTGGGTATACGTCCAAAGGAATGGAAATAATCATGTTGAAGGGATACCTGTACTCCCATGTTTATCGCAGCTCTATTTACAATAGCCAAAATATGCAACCAACCTAAACACCCATGGATGGATGACTGGATAAGGAAATTGTGGTATATGTACACAATGGAGTACTATTCAGCCATAAAAAAGAATGACATTCTTCCATTTGCAGCTACACAGATGAGCTTGGAGAAAATTATGTAGTGAAATAAACCAGGCCCAGAGAGAGAAATAATGCATGCTGTCATTTCTCTGTGGACATGTTGATGTCACAAAAGTAGAGAGCAGAATAGCGATTACCAGAGACTGGTGGGAGGAAAGGATGGATGGGTGGATACAAAATAGTGGACAGACAGAAAGAATGGGATTGGGTGTTCTATAGCAATATAGGGACACTACAGTTAACAAAGTACCATTTATCTTTGAATAGCTACTTGAGTTGATGCTGAATGTTCCCAATACAAAGAAGTGACTAATGTTTGAGGTGATGGATATACTAAGCACCCTAATAAGCACCCAGTATAAATTTACCAAATATTATATTGTATTTCATAAACATATATAATTATCATGTGTCATTTCAGAAATGTAAATTTAAAAAGAAAAGAGAAATGTAGAGTAGATAGTGATTATCAGAGGCAGGAGGATGGGGGAGACACAGGGAAAGGTTCATATATTGGTGCAAAGCTACTAAGTTAGATTTGGATAGGAAGAGTAAATTCCTAAATAGGGTGCCAACTGCTAATAATATTGTATTGTAGATTTCAAGACAGCCAGAAAAGAGGATCTTGACTATTATAACCACAAAGAAATGATAAATGTTTAGGTGACAGATATATGAACTGTTCTGATTAGGTCATTATACAGTACATGCATGTATCGCAACAGCAAAATTGTACCCCAAAACATGTACGATGAAAAAAAAATTAAAATCAAATTAACTAATATACTCTTTAGAAATGCAAGACATATTTTAATAAAATTATGACAAATTTATGACAGTGGATCCTCCTGAGATTAGTGGGGAGAAGCAGGAAGATACAACTTGTGAAAAAGCATGTAGATATATGTAACTATATTAGAAAATTTCAGTTACTAGGTTCAAGTGTGCGTATGAGGATATTATTTAATGTGTATATTATGCTTTTTAACTGACAAAGGTACTACATATGTTCTTTGGTGGTTTCAAAATATCTCATAATTAATTTTCTTTTCCAATTTCAAAAAAGCAGTTGGAAGCACAAGTACACCAAAATGTTACCAGTGGAGGCTATAGGTGATTTTTTCTCTTTCTTTATTTATATTTTACATTTTCCATAACTAATATACACTTCTTTTTTTAAAAGAACTAAGCAAAACATTATTTGGAAGACTCTAAGTGCTTCATATCTCCATAAATAATTAAATAATATGTATACATTAAAAATGGAATGAGCTTTCCTGAAAATCTTAGTCAAATCTGTTAGCTAAGCTATCTTCTCAAACTACTACTTTTGCCATCTGAATCAGCTCGTAAAGCAATATGCAAAGACAAATACTGATGCTCTTGGCTCTGGTTGCCAACATGGTAAAGCAACAATTATGACAGGAATAATACTTCAGTAATACATAGGATGGTTACTTTTTAGCTCCTTTCTTCAAATAAAGTTATTTCATCCATCCTAGTTTTTGGCCCTCCACCCAGGGAGAAATTACTAATGTGATTAGTCAGAACTTAGAACATCTCTGTGGGTCTTTTTGACTAATACAATAAGTTACCTTTATTATAGGATAAAATTAGTGGTTTGTTTTACTCCATGTGTTTCACATGTAGACAAATTAGTAAACTTAATAAGGGCACTTTTTGAGACTCTTCTAGTCCTTTCACACTATAAATATAAATAAACTGCTCACAGCACCTGTTTTTCTGTACCATACAGATAACCAAAAAGTGGTGAACTTCCAATACTTACATTTAAGAAAGGACAAAGAAATACTAGAGCTACAAACTCATAATGCCAAGGTATCATACCGTTCATTGTGTCTATCCCCATCAGAAATCCAGAGAGAAAAAAGTAGTGGTTATGACTGCAGTCCAAATTCTGCATCACTCACAGATCATCTGAGCATCAAACCTTACCCTTATCCCTAATATATGAAAATAACACTATGTGGGAGAACCTATGAGGACAGAGGATTTTATACTGAAAGTGACTTTCCCTACACATAATGTTAATATGAATTACCAACCATATTACCTCCTCTTCAGGAGATAGGTTCCGTTCACTATTGCTAACAGGAAAGCCACTGCCAAATTCTTTGGAATGAATATCTGCTCCATACTCAACTGTCACATCTTCCTCAATGCTGCTCACAAGCCTCCAGAATTCCTTCTCCACAAGTTCTGTAGGCACCATCTATGAAAATACGTGTAAAAGATGATCAAAGCCACTTTATTTTGGCTCCATATCTCCAGGAGAATTACGATTACCAGACACCAATCCACACATCCCCAGCCCTCAGTCACATACATGTACAGGCATGTTGAAGTAGTCAGCCTTGAAGGAATCAGCCATTTCACCAAAACTCTGCAAAGTGTACTCCTGGGTAGCCTGCTCAAAACCAAAAGCTTCAGGGGGCCGCTTACACTCCTGAAATAAAAAGTATTTTAGCAAGACAAAGGCAATAGATGAAGAACCCAAACAGAAGAGCTGGGTGGAGAGAAGTTTCTTCAGGCTACACTCAGTATCTTATGCAGTAACTTCAATGACTTGTGTTTCCAGATAGGACAGTTTCTCTAGTATCTACCAAGCATACTTTGTCTTTATTCCTATGGTTCATGCCATGTGGATTATGGTCCCTTTTCTCTGGTTCACTTAAATCTCTATCTATCTTAGCCTGTCCAACTCTTCTTGACTATTTGCTTAGTGATAGCTAATAAAAACCTAACTTAGAAGTATTAACTTAAAAAAGGGCAGGAATTATCACCTACTCTAGTCTTCCTGAAGTCCGGAAAGTCAAATTAGAGAAAACTACCCAGAACTAAAATTTAAACATCTATGATGAACAGGCCTTACCGCTAAGATACACTTTGGGCACTTCCATACCCCTCTGGGGATTTCAGGAAGAGATGGCAAGAGGCAGAAGATATGGTAACTATCATCACATCCATCACAGAGAAGAAGCTTATCATCTTCATCCCTCCGGGAGCATATTCGGCAAACATATGAATCAATCTACCATAAAAGAAAGTGAAAAGGTTATCTGCTTGTTCCACAATTCCTTATCCTAGGTTTCCACACAATTCACTTTGAACACCTTCAAGTTTGGATGACAAGATCTATCTGTGACAGTCCGTACAATAAGAAACACAAGGACAACCAGGAACAAGATGGTGGTAGTAAAGATAATCTCTCAGAGCAGGGAGGAGCAAACAAAAATTATGAGAACAAAGTGAAGTTAGCTAGAAAAGAAGGACAACAACCAAAATGTATCATTTTTTAAAAATGCAGACCTGAATATTTAAAAGATTATAAAAATCTTTCAGGTAAGAGGTAGGTAAAAATATATAAAAGGATATATATATTCTTTCATATACATATATATATGTAAAGCAAGGTACACATGTAAAGTAAGACCAAAGAAGAAAAGCACTACTCATGAAAAGTGATGCTTGAAGAATTCTGAAGCTTCTGCCAGAAACAAACAGCTCTTTCACATTATCAGATGATCTCCTACAATATTAGGCTGTAAAAGTTCAGAGATGCTTACTGTTGGAGTAGAAAAGAGACAGCATAGTTTGGCGGAGAGTTCTACATGTTAGAAAAGAAATTTTGCTCCTGACTTTAACAGCTTAAATAAGTTTCTTCCCTTTTCTTCCTGGCCATCAGTCTCTTCGTATACAAAGTGCTCAGGAGTAAGGTGAAGAAAGGGAGAGCAAGTAAAGGGTGATGAAGTAATTTTAGGTTCAATCTAATCATGGTAGTTAAAAACAGAGTGTTACAAAATAATAGGTGAGTTCTTACAAACTGGACACTGCTGCTTTGATTCTTCCGCAGCTGCATGGTCATCTTGGTACAGGGCTCTAGGCTGTGACTCAAGTCCTCCTTAGGCAAGGTTGATGCCACTTTCTCATCCCCACTGGGATCCTCCTTCACCATAACAGTGGCGGGGCATGTGACTCCTTCTTTATCTAGGGGAGTCAGAAACAATTCTGAAAACAAACAATTCTTTCAGACATCAGGATCAAGAAACCACCTCTTTATCCCTGACACAGCACAGCCTGTTAAACTCACCTGTCTTCTTCATGGTCTTATCCTTAGCCATGAGGCCCAAACCCATCATCTTGGGGCCTGCTCCATATATCTGTAGCTTCTTTAGCTCTGGATTCTTCTTAATATCCTCCTCTGTAGGCTCTGGCTATTAAAAGAAGGTTCAAACAAGGAAGTGAGCTTTACATATACAAACATAATATTTTACACGCAAGATTGAGATTTTCTCATTTGCAAAATATACCAGATCCTATAAAAGCAAAAGAGGTCACATAAATTAAGTCAATGAGTAGACTCTTGCCCACTTTTGAAGGTTTATTAATCATGTATCTTTACCTGTAGGTAAGCTATGGCCAGGTAGGAGCAAGTACAGAAATTTGGAACACAACTTCTTTTCTCAGTTTTTCATGTTACAAGAAATGATAAAATACTCCTGTGTTTGCAATGCTAGTGAAGCTTAAATATCATAAATCTACCTTATACTAGATGATTCAGTAAATATACTACAAATAAGCCCCTTTCTGTAAAGGATCTAAGATGCAAATGTTGAGATAGAAGGACTCTTACTCATTTGAACTCATGTTATTAGAAACTTAACTCCTCGAGGCCCGCCCGGTGGCGCACTGCTACAGTGCGCCACTTGGGAGTGTGGCAGTGCTCCCGCCGAGGGTTCGGATCCCACATACAGACCGGCCGCTCACTGGCTGAGCGAGGTGCGGGTGCAACACCGAGGGTTGCAATCCCGTTGCCAGTCCCGGTCCGGTACGGGCGTGACACTTCGTGTTGCGATCCGTTGCCGGTCACGAAAAAAGACAAAAAGGAAAAAAAAAAAGAGAAAAGAAACAACTCCTTTCTCACCACAATGTAGTAAAAGACCTGGAAAAATGCAAACCCATTATGTGCCAAAACATATACCATATATAATATATAGTATATACCATTTTCTGCACTTATCTTTTGTGTTGGCAGACACAGTGAGTTGCTTTTTTATCTATGTTTCAAAGAGTTTTTGTTCCACTTTTAAATTAAACCCTATATATTTCTCATTTCCATTTAACGCTGAAGTTTTATTTGTCCAGATTTTCATCTTTATATATAAATTTAGGTAAATTTACATCTGTAAGTTCTCTCCTATATGTAAACATTATTCAGAAATAACTTTACCACTCTCATTTTATACAACACTGAGGCGATTTCCAACTCTTTTGGCAATACAGATGATAATGTAAGTAAATATATTAATCATATTTTTTATTTTCTATATTTTATAATGTTTTGACATTTCTCAGAGCCTTGCTGGCTAGGGATACTGCCCCTCCCAGAGGTAGCTAATTCCTGAACAAAGATTATAACTGCAGATATGTGCAATTACATACAGATACATAATTATACATAACCATACATATATCTTTTAATATGTATTATATTTTGATATGTAAGTATCATTGCAGACATGTGCAATTATATACAAATAATTATACATGTAAATAAGGAATTCCTCACAAAGAAAAATTAAATATCTTTTAAAAAGCTAATGCTGGTTTCAAAATATGAAGTAACACTGTATTACTTAGTGTGTCAGACATATTACTATGAATTCCCAAATTATAAAAACCTACACATAAAATGGAGATGATTTGTTAGTCCTCTTTATAATGTTACTGGGTTCCTTTTCTGCTTAATGCAGAATTTATTTATAGTTTTATTTCCTCTTAATGTTTTGGAAGTACTAACCCTAGGTATCAGTTTTAGTAAACCACACAGTTTTCAGAAATTTTTAACGTCTTTCCAGCAAAGTGAACAACTCATTCCCAAGAAAAAAGATGTCTACATATCCATTTGACCTTTGTACCCTTGGCTGGTACTTACAAATTTCAAACAAATTTTACTGGTTGCCAAGTTACTACATGCTCATTTTTCTTCTTCAGTTTTGATACAGACACACTTCTTTCTATAAAGAAAAGCACTAATACAGAATCCATCTGCATTTCAATAATGTAAACTAATTAGGATTATTAACAAAATGCCTGAGGATACACAATTTAATCCTAATTTATTCTAAGGTATTTCATGGACAGAAAACATCTAAAACATTATAAAACTGAGGTATGTGGAGTATTCAAAAAGGCATAGATAAACGAGAAGTTATAAAACCGTACTGTTTGTTTTTTTATTCTATTTGTTATCATGTTTTCACATCTTTTTTTTTTTAAATTTTTATTTTGTCAATATACAACGTAGTTGATTATTATGTCCCATCACCGAAACCTCCCCCCCTTTTCCCTCTCCCCCCTCCCACCCAAGTGTGTCCCCTCCATTTGCTTGTTGTAAGAACTTAAAAAAAAGGGCCGGTCTGGTGGCGCACTGGATAAGTGCGCCGCTTGGGAAGCGCGGCGGCGCTCCCGCCCGAGGGTTCGGATCCCACATACAGACCGGTTCCCGCTCACTGGCTGAGCGAGGCGCAGGAGCAACACCGAGGGTTGCGATCCCGTTGCCAGTCCCCAGTCCGGTACGGGGGCAACACTGAGGGTTGCGATCCGTTGCCGGACACGGAAAAA